GATGGTTTCAGTTCATCATTAGTGGATAATGTCATTGCCACTAGAACAGAAGTCAGACCACAAACACATTTAACTCCTCTCTGCTCTCAGCATTCAGACATTGTATTCTGGCTGATGACGTGCACAACAGTTCTACTAATAGATTATAGATACGTGAGCAGTGAGACGCTTCCATAGTTTTCTGTGTCTGTCTGTGAGAGTGAGATATTATAATAGTGTTCACAACTTTTTGAGAAGAAAAACAGGTTATAAACACCACATTGCAGTTCAGTTCTATTAACTTGATTAAGATCTGTTTACTTCATATGCAAATTTATTGCTTGAGTTTGTAGGCTGGTGCCTGTCCACTGCTGACCAAGGTGTGGGTGAGGTTCTTTCTCCACTGAATGTAAAGACCTTTATTCACAGAGCACACTTTATTCAGGTGATTTTTTGGAAGTCAAAAAATAATTAGAACAGATGACGAACTCATGATAGCTTGCTTATTTGTTTTTTTTGTTTTTTTTTAAAAAACTATATCAAATTAAGAATAATGTACATTGGTAGGCGTTTCCAAGTTAAAAGCACAAAATTGGAACAACAACCCCTTTTTGTTATTATGGGCATAAAATGTTGTATCTATTTAGTCAATCGTAACAATCACATTTTAACTAAAATGTTTATTGACTGAATGTGTGTGGGGGGTCTTTGTACAGCAGGTTTTGAATGAGCTGTTACTGTTTCTCTATGTGAAGGAAAAACAATTGTATTAAGATGATAAAAGGTTATATAAATATAACATTTATAGAAAAAAAAACTGACTAAAATCAAACATAGTTTTTGGAATGTATTATTTAATTTGTTTGAATTTAAAAGCCATATTCAATAAGTGTGTTTTAAGGTTCTTTTTAAAAGTACTCAACTTCATTTCTTCTAAACATATGCTCATTCTGAACTTGAGGCCTGCAATATGTTCCAAAAAAAATGTGTGACAGGAGCGATTTAAGACTAGAAACATTGTGAAATGTTTAGAAACAAAAAAATTAAGCAGGTGATTCAATCATGCGTGGGAAAAAAATGAAGAATCCAGGAAAAGCCAAAAACACAACCAAATGCCAATGACCTCCACCCCTCAGCCAGAACTGTATTTAAAACCAATATGCTTCTGTGATGGCGATCACCTCATGGTCTTGGAAATCCTTTGACAATAAAAGTTTAAACTGCATTATGCACAGCAGAAATGATTTGTCAACAGCATCCAGAAGTGCTGCCAACTTCTCTGAGCTCGAGCTCATCTGAAATTGACTGAGTGCACACAGTGGAAATGTGTATTGTGCTCTGACAATCAAACTTTCAGATTGTTAATGGAAATAATGAACGTTGTGTTCTCTGGGTCAAAGAAGAAAAGGACTGATTGTTGTCAGCATGAAGTTAAAACACCAGCATCTCTCATGATATGGGGGGGCATTAGTGGGTATCTTGAACATCTGTGAATAAATAAAGTGTGAATGAGAGCAGAAAGATGTTAAACTAGGTAATACCTGAAGATTCGAGTCTTCAGACCACAGAGGAAAGAACTGAGCATGAGAACTGACTGCAGTGCAGAGTCCAGAGGAAAGTTCAGTCCACCTCTCAGACGCAAAGACACCAAACAGAGAGACCCAGCATTACGGCTGTGCTTAGATTTTAAGGAAGGACGTGTCCAAAGTGAGGAAGTTGAAGACCATTAAGATTATAAATATTTGAATACTAGACTATCCTGTAATAAGTATAACTTTAAATTTTACATAAAAGATAAAGAAAAATAAACGAGTTAAAAAAACATCATTGGGTTTCAGGTCCTCATTTAGTTGATGTTGTCATTGCTGCTGATTTATTAGAATAGAAATCAGACCACAAACACATCTCTAACTCCTCTCTGTTCTCAGGCTTCCGACACTAAATTTGGCTGATAAAGTGCACAAACATTTTACTCATAGTCTACAGAAATATCATCAGTTAGATGTTCCCACAGTTTTGTATCTTTGTGTGTGAGGTTTTCTGTGCTCTGATAAATAATCAGCTAATTACCTAGTTACATTATAAATTATAAATGTGGAGAATCTTCAGACTGCAGAACGTGATTTATAATGACTTGCAAATACTCTGTTTATCAGTCAACTCGCAAAGAAATCACTGATTCATTATCTACACACAGCTTACTCTTCTGGGTCATGTGGGGTGCTGGGGCCTAACCCAGCAGTCATTGGCCAGAAGACAGGAAACACCCTGGAGAGGTCACCAGTCCATCACATCACATTCACACCTAGGGGCAATTTAGCATCTCCAGGTCTTCTGACTACATGTCTTCAGACTGAGGTAGGAAACCGGAGCACCTGGGGAGAACATGCAAACTCCACACAGAAAGGACCCTGATCACCTGGGAATTGAACCCAGGCCCTTCTTGCTGGGAGGGGACAGCACTACCCACTGCACCACTGTGCCACCCTACATAAACATAGCAAGATATCACTTTTTCTTTTCTCATACCCATTTTTCGTCCTTACAACTATAAAGCTTTAAAATGAAGCTCTTCAGTTAAGGTGAACATCTGGCTATTATGCTCAAAGTACTCAAATGCTCTACCAGCCCACAGGAAGATGTACACAGCTAAGAGTATTGCATCACACAGTGTGAGTGTACTTTTCATATTTTAGACTTTTTGTGTTTGTTTGGCCTTTAAATTGATATACAAGTTAGGAAGAAAGTGCCTGAACGCTACTTAAAAAGAGTAATATTGACTCAGAAACAAATATTTTTAATAATGTACCACATACAGCATTGTCTATTTTCTGTAACAATCTCAGTTGTGATCTCTCATGCTGTTGGTTATCTTTGTGCCTTGAAGACCTCTGCTATCTGTGTTGGAGCATCTATGAATTATGAATTCATGAATTCTTTGTGCCTTCCGCTCTATGACTGCTGGGGTAGGCTCCTGCTCTACCTGTGACCCAGAGAGAAAAGCAGCTTAGAGATTGTGTGTGTAAATTCTATGAATTATCTTCACACCTGCCTATTTTTCCTATATCCAATGCATCATCTATGAGAACCGACTGTTTGCTAACCATTTACTATGTCCAAGACATTAGTGTGACATTTTTATGAGATCATCATTTGCCCCTTATGTTTAAGAAGATCACGTAATAGACTACAGCTTGTTGTAGACCTGGAATATCACACAGCAGATTGGAAGGCAGCTGTAACGCATATGAGTTCACGTTCTAGATGAGTTTACATTTCATATTCTGAACATCAGTTTTAATAAATTAAGTGAAATAATGAAGTTTCTCTTTTTTCAAACTCGAGGTATGAGGTAAAACGTGACTAGGCTAGTAACATTAGCTGAGGTGAATAAAGATGATTCACACTATGGCTTTTTGTGGTCTGGATGGTGGTTTGTGTTAATGCAGTAATAGTGAGGTGATGAATACCTGAGAAGTCTCATGGTGGTGTGACCTTCATTGCGTGTTGTCTGGTGTTTGATACTAAATCTGGTGTAATTTGTCCACATCAGTCAGGAGGGAACTCAGTCATGATTCTGGTTTCATGGAATTTAAAGAGACTCATATGGATCACGACCACCTGTAACCCCAGAGTCCACGAGCAGGTTCCTCTGTGTAAGTTTAAAGACACATTTGATCCATAATGTTTTTTGTGGTCTGATTCTTGGTTTAGTTTAATACAGTGATGGTAAACTGCTGTGTGGTGAGCTGGGCTTAGACAGAACATTTACAATGAAGAACAAAGTGTAATTTTCTGTTTCAAGATTTTAACACTTTGTTTTCAAGCAAAACTTAACTTAATAACTTGATATAATAATTATATTTCTTTAAAAGGGAATTCAAATTACAGACATGCATTTGTCAGTTCCCAAAAATCATTAGACTTCCTCTGAAGGCCTAGAGGACTCTGAAGTTTCCCCATGGGTAAATTAGCATTTGATTAAATTTCTAATTCCTGTCTCTGACAAAAGAATAGAACAATAGAGGCATTAAAATGGCTGGTTAAAATATATATTTATTTGTGTTAATTTCAGAATTCAGTAAAAAAAATTGATAAAATATAGCTTTTATTACATTGACCTGTTAAGCTGGTTAAAATAAACAAAGTAATGTTTTATTTCATGAAATCATAACATAATAACTGCAACTTCAACTGCTTTATAAAGATAAAGAAATAGTTTGCAATACTTCAAGAATTAGACTATCTAAACATATGACCACATATCATTTTGTCAATCACTATTAGTTTATGATTTTTTTTGGTTTTGTTAAAAATAAGGATTGATAAAGGATAAACAATAAAAATATATAACTATAATAAAAATATAGAACTAAAGAGATACAAATAACAACAATCAAAACTCATGACTACAGAAAATATATAATCATACAAAAACAAAAAAACAATTGTCAATGTTCAAATCTACCACATAGTATGTTTATGATGATACTGTGTGACTGTCACTGCTTTATGCTAATGTATTTTAAATGTAACATTGTAAGGAAATCTTGCTTTCAGTGCATTTAGCATGACAAATGCTCTCTGTGTACTGATGTACAGTTTATTATTACTCATAACAGAGAGTGTTAAACTATTTAACTCACTAAACTCAGAGGAAAAGAGAGATGAGATGAGTCTAATGAGTCTTTTTATAATAATGTTGTTTATGATTAAGACCTTTTTAAATTTCTTTCTAAATTTTAGGAGGGGTGTAAATATACACATATTTACAGGTTTAATACAATCATCAGATCAATATTTGATTTCATCTTCTTGGTTTGCATGTATACAAACGTAACTTCACAACAAAATATTACAGTGTAGCATGTCCTGCAAAATAATGATCATATGAAACAGTACAATTGTGCTATAAACAATACAAAAAAGTGATAAGATGCAACTAGACAGCAAATGAAAGGCTACTGAAAGAGACTGAGGGGCATAGCAAATGTACAGTTTTGAATGTCGACGCACAAACTTTTTCCCTTAACCTTTACTTGCTAAATATTGTCATAAAATACTCCAAGCAGAGTTCACTTATTAAATGATTTAGTACTCAGCTTAATAATCAATGAATAAGAAAACGCGAGACTCTTTTCACTTAATCAGTATAAAACACTGGTAGAGTAAACGTTGTTCAAATGCTGTATTAAAGATAATTCTGACAGTCTAACTGTGTTCAGATCCTCTTCTGTCTGCACTCCTTAAAACCCCAACCAGGAGTTTCTGTAAATGGTTACTTTTCTGTACTGAAACAGCAACAGTTTTCTTCATAGACCTACAAGAGAAAAGCACTTTATGACTTAAGTATTTGTGTATATTACAGTCGATGTATCTGTAAAATGAGGCATCAGTGCAGATAAACCTCATGTGTATAAAATCCCATTGAAGTTCCATGATGTATCTTTTCAGTCTAACCATTTATCTGAATGTTTCTGCACATCATCAGTGAATAAAGAGGGCAGTTAAATCCCCCTCATGACAAATCTGCAGGAATGTTTTGAAAGAAAAAACATCACTTCTATTTTAAACATGTTCACCTTCCACCTTCTCTTACTGATTGCCAATACTGTTGTCTGGTTGCACTGACTTACACTGAAAGTAAAGGATGTTTTTTCTATGGAGTCAAAAAAGGGTCAAAAAGATTTTGAGCTTGTAAAACGATATTCACAAATGTACTGAAATTTGCAGTTGTGTTTAAGCAACTACACACATGTAAAACCCAGATTCACAAATGATTTGGAATCTGCAAATATGAAACAAATAAATAAATAAACAAATAAATAAATACATAAATAAATAAATAAATAAATCAAATTCACAAACGCATAAAATACTTTTAATATATAGAAAGAATTTTTGAATGTATAAAAAAGATTAGCATTTGTAGATGAAATGTTGTGAATGCGTACTACTCAAATGATTGACATTGTGCCAGACCATAAAATCACATGAAAATGTTGAAGTTCCAAGTGTGACAGTGGGTGTTTTTCAGTGTGGTGGTACAAATCTGTGAACACACCCTTTCTGTGTGAACTTCTTTTTGCAAGTGCAGATTTTTTACCCTGTTTTGAGACAAATTGATGGACCAATAGGAAAGCTTGAACTGGTCCAATCAGAGAGCGAGTTTGATTTATCCAATCACAGCCGTGACTGGTTGCTGTCACTCAAAGCTTTGGTAAGCTGTTGGTAAGCTCTAATGGCACTTCGACCGAGGGCATATGTGGACATTAAAGAGGATTTTACAAGTATGTAGTTGCTCAAACACATCTATCTATCTATCTATCTATCTATCTAAAAAATAATAATGAAAGTTGCATAAGACGTTGTTTGCTCAGATTCAATCTCTTTACCTACAAATTGATCACATTCGTGTGAATTGATTAATTCCACCAAATATCTGTTTTAATACAATTAATATATAATTTAATTTAATAATAATAATTAATAACATACATAGTTGCCTTCTAGCCTTCATAACCCTGCTTGTCCAGCTCCTCCAGCATTGGCGGCACCTTTGACCTGACAACGCGGCCCACCCCCGGAGATCCCAAAACCGGTTCTGATGCTGTGTGTTCAGCTCTTCCAGAGCTGGCAACTTCTCCCATGGTGAACGAAGACCACACTGCCAAGGAGCCCTGACTTTCTGCCTCGGCTCTGCAACTAGCTGCTGCAATAAGCTTCCTCAGTTACCCTCCTCAGTCTCCTCAGTTTATTAACTTCAAACTAAACCACCCACAACAATAATCAGAACCATCTGATCTTTTTAACATGGAGTGCTGAGGCTCCTCATTGGCTGCACCATAGTATAGTATAGCATATGCCATGTGCAAAACATGCTACAAAGTCAGTACCTAGTAATACCCCCTTTGGCGGATATCATAGCTTGCACATCTTTTTTGTGGCGAGCTTGGAGTCTTCATATTTTTGTTTTAGGAATTTTCACCCACTCAGGACAGTGCTAGTTCTGTGCTATTATTGGGCCGTCTTGCATACACAGCCTGTTTAATGTTCTACTCACATGTTTTCAATAATGCTGAAGACTATGGGGGCTGTGAGTGCCATTCCAAACACTTCAGCTTTTGTTGAAGTAGTGCCTGGTGGATTTTGAGGTTTTGAATAATGGTCCTGTTGTAGCAGCTTTGGTTGTGACATGTTAGCACAAAATTTGTAGATTGAGAGAAATTATTACACTTTGGCATTGTCATCAACTGCCAATTTTTAACCTGATTAAACAGTCCAAATGAGTCAATTAAGACACAGCTGGTTCATTAGACTATTTTACTTCACATGCCTAGCCGGAAGTTTAATGAAGCCTTTATGTGCTGAAACCTGGGTGTAATATATGATTCTGCGCTCTGTTTTATCCCACATGTAAATGCCAGTCAGTAAAGTAGCTTTTTATCATTTGAGAAATATTGCAGTAATTTGGACTTGTCTATCTCAGAGTGATGCAGGGAAACATGTTAATGTATTTGTTACAAGCAGAGTTGATTACTGTAATGTTTTTTTTTAATAGGCATTCAAAGAAAACAAAACGTCCAACTCATAAAAGACAAAGTCGCATGAATCCTAACAGAAACAAAAACGAGAGCTCACATCACTGCAGAACTGCACTGTATTTTTTAGGAGAGATTTTCTGAGGAGAGAAGTCCTGAAGATTTTACACCTCTAAATGGACTTAGGGCCTGTAATCGCTTAACTCAACTTTTTTTCTTCTATTACTGCTAAGTTTTATTGCCTATTTGTATTAATAATTTATTATTATTATTATTATTATTATTATTATTATTATTATTATACATTGGGTATTATTGCTGTTACTATAATTATTGCATGTATTAAAGGTAACATGTTTTTATTAAAAAAAAAAAAATCAACAAAATATGTATCCGAGGTTGCCCAAACTTTTGCATGCAACTGTACATGAACTGTGGGGGCCTCTGGCATCCACTTAATGTCTGTGATATTAATGTTACAACATTTAAAATGATATGAATAAATCTGTGTATATATGTTTACAACTACTGTAAATAGTTATCATTAAATATTTTACTATAATACTTTTCTTTCTTTTAAATCTTTTTTTTACCTTTGCCTTTAGTGTTCATATTTTTTGTATTGTCATGTGAATTAAGTGCACACCCCCAACACAGTATGATTATTTGAAAAATGAATAAAAAAATGATAGTAGATAACCCATTTGTTCAGTAATTTTGTTTTTGATGGCATTGCATGGCAGAGCAACATCCAATGCTTTGTGTAACCACAGTCAGTTTATGTGTTTTTTTTAACTGTATAGTAGGTAAAGTTTACCTTTTCCATGGTGTTTCAGGTTTTTCAACTTGATTTGGGAATATGTCACATCATTTGGTCTTGTCACTGCTTCATCTGATACAGAAATAATTTAGATTACTTCAAAATATACCAAAAACAAAAGAGTAAAGAAAAATTATTATTAATTAAAGATTATTATCTATGTTATTGCAGAGATGAGAATATTACCATTGCTTTCAAGATTATTTTCAGTAGTCGCAATCTGAGCGTAAGTTACATCACTGGGCTGAGCTGCAGAATCATCTGGAACAGAAGAAGTCAGAAATGGCACTGTGTTCTCACATCATCAAAACAAAGACAGAGACCCTGCACCTCCACAGTGAGATGAAAACATATTTTACATGCTTTTCCACTTACATGCATTGTTAAAACAAGAATCCAGATTTAATTAAGAAATGCTCTATACTTTGATGTCAGCACCAGTACAAACAGCACAGCTCACAGAAATCTGTCTTTACTCAGCTGCATAAACTGATACAGGACAGACAAAGTGTGTTTTCAAACCTTTGTTCTTCTTGTAACAGCAAATCAGGCCCAGTATGATAATGAGGAACAAGGTTAAACTCAGTCCCACTGACACTCCTACTGCCACTCCCACTGCTATGCCAGTAGTTCCAGAACCTGAAGACACAAAAAAAGACAGGAATTTGTATTTAAAATGTGTGAACTGTAGAAAAACAGAAAGAATAAAATAACATGAAACCGTTCTCACCTCTGACTGAGATCCAGCTCTTTGGTGACTCTCCTTTCTCTGGGTGTTTACAGTGGTAGAGACCTTCATCTGACTTTGAGACAGTACGGATGATCATCTCTCCTGTAGTCTGGGTCTGGAGCAGTGATCCATCTTTATAGAAATCAGCTGTGAGGTTTGAGGGCTTTGTGGAGCGACATAAACAGCGGAGAGTCAGAGAATCTCCCTCAGTCGCAGGATGGACAGGACTGTCCAGAATCACATCACCATCTGTAGGAAACAGTAAGTGAACTAGAGTGAAGTAACAACTTCTAGATTTACATTTTTACTAGAAATCTAAAGTTGCACTTTAGAGTATGGGGTAATTTTTATTTAGAGGTTGGTAATTTACTAAGAAAAAAACTAAACTAGAGCTTTAAAATGAAACAATAAAAATTTAACACCTCTGATGGGATGCAATCTTACAATAATCACAGAATTAATTAATTAGTGTGCTTCATACAGACCCATTACTCAGATAATGATTATGCACAAGATTATTCATAGATATTTAAATTGTTTTGTGCCTTTCTTAGACTGAAACTGCTATAAAAAGGTAGAAGAAAATAGGTAAATATATTATAGACACAGAAAAGTAAGACATTTAATGAAATTAAATGGCTCAGAGGTTTCCATGGACTCCAACTCCCAGAATCCTCCAGGAGATCACATGGCTCCTGACCCTCCAGCATGCTCCAATCACAGATCTCTCTCACCTGAATACTGATCTGTTACACCTGTTGACCTCTCATTAGCTTTAGTATAAAGCCTGGGCGTTTAGATTAGCTCAGAGTGAGGTATCGCTTCTTTCTCGAGCTACTGAGTGTTTATTTCCTGTGTTGTGTTTTCTGGTTTTGACTGATCTTCTGTATTTTGACTTTTCCCTTTTGGATTGTTTTTTCCTGTTGTTATGTTTGTGTGTCTTTACTTGCTGCCCTTTCTGGATTTGACCTGTGCCTGTTTCCTGACAACGATTTTGGTTGATGATTCAACAGTAAAGCCTTATTTGCCTTTTTTATTCGCGAGCATCTGAGTGGTTCTGTCACGTTACACACTTAAAAAAATCCTAAGAGTAAAATTATAGTTTCATCAACTTGTTATATAAGTATAACACTCTTCAGTAAAGGAAAGCTGGAAAGTTAAACTAAGGAAATCTGCGAAAATGCATTCTGCAGTTTGGGAGCAGTGACACAGAACAATGTATTAACAAATAAAAATGCTCTTTATTCATTTTAGTTATTGCTTAATAAAGTAGTCATAAGCAGCCTATTAACAACCAGCTACTGGCTTATTAAGACATCATAAAGGAATTATAGGGGCATTAGACTGTCATCCTATACTGAAGTGTTATCTAACATATTCGATTTTTTTGTAATTAATAAATTCATTAATTAATTGATTAATTAGCTGTCAAAATAATTCTGTAGTCCTCTATAATGGACCTCTATTATTGTTAAGAATAACAGAGACTCACTGTGCACTGTGATGTTGAGAGGATCACTTCCTCCTCCAGATTCAGACTGACACCAGTAAACTCCAGTGAGGGATGTGTAGAGGGAGCTGATGTTGCATGTAGATCCTGTAACTGATGAACAATCTGACACCTCCCCACTGTGTGTGTATCGCCTCACTCTCCATCCAGTAGAGTCACTCTGTCCCTCACAGCTCAGTGAGAGAGAGCCAGCACTAAAGTGTTGAGTTCTGCTGGGACTGATGATCAGAGAGGCTGGAGGAGATGAACCTGAACATGCACACAAGATACACATGTAGCATGTTGATCAATACTAATGCTAAACAAACATACTGTTCACTAAAAGAATGTGATTGGAAAAAACATGTATAATACTAGTTAATTTCTCTATTTCCTCACCAGTGATCCATAGTGTCTGTGCAGTGCTGTACTGTGTCTGATAGGCTGGTTCTCCTCTCTCTGCTCTGCACACATAAACTCCTGTGTGATTTAGAGCAGCAGGACTGAGAGTGTAGGAGCCTCCAGCTTCTCTTCTGCTGTCTGACAGGAGCTCTACATGATACAGAACATTGCCATGAACGTCTCTTATTTGTTGTAAGCCTTGTCTGTAGAGAACAGCTCTGTACCAGCTGAATGTCCAGCCTGTAGAGGAGCCTGTAACCTCACAGCTTAGAGTCACTGAGTCTCCTTCAGTCAGCCAGCTCTGTGGAGACACACTCAATACTGCCTGAGCTACATCTGACAGAGAGAACATGGAGAATATAATAGACTATATAAAAGTTTGAAAGATGTAGAAACGATAATAAAGAGAGATGAGACGTTTGCAATTGGTTAATTAGTGTCAAGTGAAAAGCTAGAAAACTCAGGAATGTGTGGACATTTCAGAGACAGTAGCATAATCATGGCAGTATAAACAAACCATGAAAAAACAAGTGTCAGGATTTGTTTTTTTTTATGTAATTTAAAATTAGAGATCTGATGTGTCTGCTGTGTTTGTAACACAGCCATTACTGGCATGATCATTGGAGTGTTTTTGAGTCATTTTTTATTCTCGTGTGGACTGAAAAATGTTTAAAACGCTGTTGGTGTGGACGAGGATTATTTCGGAATTCAAAAGAAATAACATTTAAAAATATCCTGATACGTGTGGACGAGGCCTAAAACTGAACTTTAGAGAACTCTTGAAAAGAATGGAAGCTGTGATAAAGGCAAAGAGTTCATGAGCACTAAATAAAAATAAACATTTTCAGATCATCTTTACTTGTTGAGGCTTTAGTGTACTTTTCTATATGTTTTCTACTTTTTTTCCCATTGCAGACAAATGACTAACTTGTAGTTGTACTTTATGGCTGTTTTGACTGGGGAAATGAAATAATGAAGGGTGGTCTCTGACTTTTGCACAGTACTGTACATGAAATCACTGAAGCTTTAGAGAAACTGAGTATTTTAAAGAGAAAATTTGCTCATATGTTTAGTAGAGGATGATGTCTTTGATGGTAGTAATGCGCCTTAAATTCCAAATGATAGGAATAAAGCGAGAAAGACGCCACACTCACCTGATACAGTCAGTGTAACAGCTTCACTGGTGTGTGTGTATATTCGGCCTGTTGACTGTGTTCCCTTACAGGTATAAACACCTGCATGAGACTGATCAACATTAGAGATTTCATATTCCTTCCTTTTAGCATCTCTGAGGAGATTATTATTCTTATACCATTCATAATTCCAGTCATCTCCACTTTCTATTTCACATGTCAGAGTGACTCTCTCTCTGATGAACACATGATCAGCTGGCTGGACTTTCACTGCAGCTTTTGGTCTCTCTGTTCAAAGATCGTAAATTCATTTTTGTGATATATATAATTTTAACCATTTATATAGTAGCATATTATGAACTTTTTCAAATTTAAATGCAAATTTGAAAATGCTAATTAAATTGTTTATTTACTTTTGCATTTCCCATGTCAGTGAGCATCATTTAAGACATAATTCAAATTCAGTTAAAAAAAATTGCATTTGTATTTGCATTTCTGCCTTTACATTTTGGGCTTTCTTTGCTTTGACACACCCATTACAAAAAGTCAGGGAGCGTTAATGAGCTGCTGCCTCATTGATGGAGAAAATGTAATTGCAACTAGGATTGCAGATTCATTTTCATTTTGGCAGAGCTGGAGTGCAAACATGATGAAATCCAGTTACAAATGAGCTATAGTTATTTTGTTTTTAACATGGCAGAGTCAAACCATTAAGACAATGAAAATGAAATATCAAAAGATTTGCTTTATCATATTCAATTTTCCAACAACTAAACACAGAAATGCAAATACAAACTTTGTGACTGAATTTGATTTGGATCTTAACTGATGCACACTCAAATCAGAAATGCAGTTAATGTACAACCCCATTTCCAGAAAAGTTGGGATGGTGTGAAAAATGTAAATAAAAACAAAATGCAATGACGTGCAGATCATTTAAACCCTATATTTCATCAAAAAGCGTCAAAAACAACATATCAAATGTTGAAACTGAGAAATGTTATTGTTTTTTGAAAAATATTTGTCCATTTTGAATTTGATGCCAGCAACATGTTTCAAAAAAGTTGGGACAGGGGCAACAAAAGACTGTTAAAATTGTGTAATGCTTAAAAAAACACGTGGTGGTTGTTTGGCAACAGGTCAGTAACATGACTGGGTATAAAATGAGTATCCCAGAGAGGCTGAGTCTTTCAGAAGTAAACATGAGGAGGGGTTCACCACTCTGTGAAAGACTGCACAATCAAATAGTGCAACAATTTAAGAACAACATTTCTCAACATAAAATAGGAAAGAACTTTTGCTTTTCATCATCTACGGTATGTAATATCATTAAAAGATTCAGAGAATCTGGAGAAATCTCTGTATGCAAAGGACAAGACCAAAAACCAGTATTTGCTGGCTGTGATTGTTTAGGTCCTCAGGTGGCACTGCATTAAAAACAGATATGATTCTCTAGAGGAAATCAGCAAGACAATGTCAAACCACATTCTGCATGTATTACAACAGCATGGCTCTGTATTAAAAGAGTCCGGGCGCTAAACTGGCCTGCCTGCAGTCCAGACCTGTCACCACTGAAAACATTTGGCACATTATAAATTGAAAAATACAACAAACGAGACCCCGAACTGTTAAGCAGCTGAAATCCTATGTTAAGCAAAAATGGAGAAAATTTCACTTTCAAAACTACAGCAGTGTCTCCTCAGTTCCCAAATGCTTACAGAGTGTTGTTAAAGGAAGAGGTGATGCAGCACAGTGGTAAACATGCCCCCATCCCAACTTTTTTGGAAATGGCATCAAATTCAAAATGGGCATATATTTTTCAAAAAACAATTCAATTTCTCAGTTTCAACATTTGATTTGTTGTCTTTATATTATTTTCAATGTAATATAGGGTTTAAATGATTTGCACATCATTGCATTTTGTTTTTATTTACATTTTGCACAGCATCCCAACTTTTTTGGAAATGAGGTTGTAGTTAATGCAGTAAATACACAATTTAATTGAATTTATTTTGATTTTGGAAAAAATCCAGAATTTTCTACCACACATTCAACTGTTAATGGAAGAGACAAAATGAAAATGAAATACATTTTTTGGAATAAATGTATTTGTATATATTTATCTTTTTACTATCTCAATTAATGTCTTACATTTAAATAGAACAAAACATATTCATTATAAATATCTAAGGTCTGAATACGTAATTCATTTTTCTTTATTTATTTCTTTTTATTTATTTATTACAGTGTGACCACAGTTTAAATAAATTTGGTATAATAATCTATATATTCTCTGAAGATTCATGAAATTATTTTAAAACTTTGTGGATATGAATAATTTTCCAATTTTTACACAGTCGTTCTGAAATCAAGTCATTTGTAAAAAAAATGAAGCAGAAAACATGTCATACCTCTCACTGTAATCCTGATGGGATCACTGTCCACTGACTGATACTTTTCCCTCTTTGCTATACACCTATACTCTGTTTCTCCTGGATTAGACAATGTTATACTGTATGTGTTCAGACGATGATCTGGTTGTACATACTCAGAGTCTTTCTTCCAGAAAAAGCTCCAGTAAGTCGACTGATACGGCATCTCACAGCTCAGAGTAACTGTGTCTCCAGTATAGACTGAGCTCTGAGGATCCACACTCAGTCTGGGTGGTGCTGTTGATGTGAAATGATAAAGTCAGAAGTCAAATGCTTTTCTCTTTACAAGAAGTAGTTTATTATCCATCCACTTTGAACTCTTAATGATAGAAATGAAGTGAGAAAGACGCCACACTCACCTGATACAGTCAGTGTAACAGCTTCACTGGTGTGTGTGTATATTCGGTCTGTTGACTGTGTTCCCTTACAGGTATAATTACCTGCATGAGACTGATCAACATTAGAGATTTCATATTTCTTCCTTTGAGCATCTCTGAGAAGATTATTATTCTTATACCATTCATAATTCCAGTCATCTCCACTTTCTATTTCACATGTCAGAGTGACTCTCTCTCTGATGGACACATGATCAGCTGGCTGGATTTTCACTGTAGCTTTTGGTGTCTCTGTTCAAAGATAATAAATAATTTTAAAACTTATACACTCTCTCTGAACATGCATGACATTATTCAAAACCATTCACTCTCTATTAGTTTACAGAGAGAACTTTATTCTAGATGTGATTTCAAGTATCATGCATTCCTCTGGATCTGAGAACTACACTTCCCAGAACTCTCTTGGAGATCATGTGACCGCTGATCAGCCTACAACAACCAATCGATGTTCTCCCTCAACAGAATACTAACCTGTTACACCTAGTCTAGTCAGTTATTATATGAGCCTGGGCTTTAAGCTGAGCTACCAAGCGTTCTACATTGTTTTTACCCTTTGTGTATCTGAACTGTGTTTGTGGATTTTTGACTCTGATTTTTGCCCTTGCCTTGTTGATCTTGGTTGCCTGACTGTGTTATGTTTTTGTTCATATCTTTTTGGATTGTTTTGGATCTGAGCTGTGCATGTTTTTCGACTATGAGATTGGATCACGTTTCAAACAGCAAAGCCTCTTTTAACAACATCCGCAAGTGTCTGTGCAGTAGTGTTGCATTACAGAATACCTCACCGACCATGCAGACGGCGGATTCGGAGGCCATGCAGAATGACATCGTTAATCACGGTCAGCAACCCTGACAAGTGCTGTGGATTTTTACTTCAATGCTCTATTTTTTTAACAATTCCCCACCGAGTTCATATTTAACTAAAATCTCTTTTGTGGTATCTTGGCTGGCGGATAGGGCTCTGGCCCAAGCTACAGTGCCTATCTTATGAACAATTTGTAAAGGAGTTTCTCTCTGTGTTTGATTGCCCCGAGGACAGAAAGGTTAGAGGAGACCTCCTTCCAAAGCTGCGTCAAGGAAAACGTATGGTAGCAGAATATGCATTGGAGTTCCGACCTCTGGCGGCTAGTAGCAGCTGGAACGAGCCGGCTCTGTTAGTTATGTTTTGCCAGGGTTAGGAGTCCTCACGTTAGACGGGGAGCCAGTAGGAGCCGGCTCCATAACACAACAGAAAGAACTGGTTAAGCTTAGTACTAGTGCCCTTCATCAGGAACTTACTTCCTTTTTTGTAATTAATTTTTTATAACCCTAACCCTAATCCTCTGACTACCATCGTTCAAAAAACACAGCCCACCTATCTCTTGGGCTGACCATGAACTATTGTCATGGTCTGTCTTTTGTCACCAAAACTACTTAACTCTCCCTTCCTTTCCATTAAATCTAATTCCACAAACAGCCCTAGCTCAGAGACACTCCCTGACCTCCCAACTGAATATCATGATCTTTTTAAAGTATTCAGTGAGGGTAATGCAGCCAAATTGCCCACTCACAGGCTCTATGTAGAGAATGCTACACTGCCTAAATCTAGAGTTTATCCTTTAACTCAAGAGGAGGAGAAAGCCATGGACAAATACATATGAGAAGCTCTAGAACAACATTTTATTAGACCGTTGACTTCTCCTGAGGCCCCTGATTTCTCTGATGTCTCACCAAAAAATACCCATCAATCCATCAGAGACTATACAGTTACAGCGATTTCTAGGATTTGCTAACTTTTAACAGCGTTTCATTCATAATTTTAGTACCATAGCAGCACGGCTAACTGACCTTTTAAAGGATAGTCCCCATATCTTGACTTGGTCCACACAGGCAGAAAGAGCATTTAAACGTCTCAAAGAAGCGTTCACTTCTGCCCCAATTTTGAAACACCCAGATCCCTCCGTGTCATTTGAGTGGAAATTGACACTTCGGCGACAGGTATAGGAGCAGTACTATCTCAAAGAACAGACAGTCCCCCCAAATGAAACCCTATAGCATTCTACTCCCACAAGCTCACTTCAGCAGAACATAATTTTGGCATTGGAGATCATGAGCTCTTGGCAGTAAACTAGCATTAGAAGAATGGCGACACTGGTTAGAGGGGGCTAATCATCCATTCACGATGTTAAAACTATTTATCTATTTGTTAAAACTGATAAGTAGTTTTGAAACGTATACACTCTCTCTGAACATACATGACAGTATTCAAAAACATTTACTATTAGTTTACAGAGAGAATTTTATTTCAGGTTTGTTTTCAAGTCGTTCCCTTCTGTTTTCAAGTCTACTCTTCTGCATCTTCCACTTTCTGCTGTGGACAAACTCTAACGTTTCAAACAAAAGCAAAAAGGTTGACTTTTAGCTGATGTTGCCATCGTTTATGAAATAATCTAAAAGACCTAAATTGAGACTTAAGATACAATTAACATTTTGCACTGGATTCAGATGTAATTCAGATACGTTCCCATCATGTGTTATGTATGAAACACACAGGTGTGCAGAAATGGAATTGCAACTGATTATACATCCTGCTGGATTTACTAACGTTCGAGTAGCTCACAGCCAGTTTGCATGAATTTTTCTCTATCTTTGAATCCCTTGAATGCCCAGGGCCCTCCGGCAGTGCCAAGTTACCCTCCTCTAAAACCTAAGAATAGCTCCTGAGTTTGTT